ATGGCGACTCCCATGCATGGGCTGATAGCTCGGAGACAAGCGTAAGTGAGACGACGCCCAGTGGGGTCTGCGAGAGGGCTGTGGGTGTGGAGACGCCAGTCCGCTAGTTAGTGAGCTGGCGCGGGCTGCGGGACTGAGCGGGCTCGGAGAGTCCGAAATGAATCCAAGGGTTGTTGGTTGTGTGGTTTATGATCCTCTGTCCGTCTCACACGTTTGTCAAGGTAGCCTGGATGCCTGATTCCCACACCTTCACTCCCGAGGACCCAAACTTCTCCCACTTATTCCTTTGCAGCATTTCCGGTCTCCTTCCTACCGCCTTTCCTAGAAACAAGCCTGTCTACAATGCCTTTACTCTTTTCCCATCTACCGACTCACTTTCTGCGACTCTCTCCTTCAGTAAATAGTTCTTTTAGTACCTACCACTCCATGCCTTTTTTTTTTTCAGTGAAGAAAAATGTTCGGGACACGCAGCTTATAGTCTAAATGTGGAACCAGTTAATCCTCTGAACAAGTACAGTTGGTAGTTTTAAAAATCTTTGTAGGAAATAAGAGGCTGTGATGGGAATACGGGAAAGGCTTCTTCAAATTAGTTGGACTGGAAATACATTAGTGGAGGGGTGACATTTCAAGACAGGCTGAAAGGCGTAGGAAAGACCGAGTCACCAGAGGGCTTGGGAAAAGAAACGCTAGACAATGGTATAATTGCTTTGAGGCGGTGAGAACTTTTTTTTTCTGTCAAAGCTAGCTAGCTGTTTAAGAATTAATAAATTTACACCTTTATTTAATCTCTCTCAATCTGGTAAGAATTTTGTTTAGGAAACTTGATGGCCTATAACAGGCGAACGCTTCCTTTAATTTCTTTTGCTCCCATTCTTTATTTTTGATTGGTGTTTCGAGACAGGGTCTTTTCACATAGCCCTGTCTGTTCTGAAATTTGCTTTGTGGCCAGGCTGGCCTCTAACTCCGAGATCCACCTGCCTCTGCCTCCCACGCGCTGGGATTAAAGGTTTGAGCCACCATCCCTGGCCATAGCCCAGGACTTTAATCCCAGCACTTAGCCCAAGGTTAGCCTGATCTACATATCTAGTTCCAGGACATTCAGAGCTGCATACTGAGACCATGGCTCAATAAACAAATAAAATTTAAAAAACCTTAATTTTAACAGTGCTAAATTAAGTTACTAGGATCTCATTTCACCCCTTTTCTCTCTTAAACTGGTTCTTTTGGATCCAGACTTAGGCTACTTAAGTGACAAGATGGCTTGTTTTGTTTTGTCTTGTTTTTCGACACAGGGTTTCTTTGTAACAACCCTAGCTATCCTGGAATTCACTTTTGTAGAGCAGGCTGGCTTGGAACTCAGAAATCTACCTGTTTCTGTCTCCTGAGTACTGAGATTAAAGGCATGTGCCACCAAACTTGGCAAGACCTCATCTTAAAACAAAACCTCCCAGCAATGTTATGTTCACCCTCTGTATGGCCATGTGATAGTGGCATGTTGGATTTAAAGTTATGTGAAACTGAAAGGAAAATACTGTTTATGGATCTATTACCTGCTTGCTTTTAACTTTCTTGCTTTTGATGTAAGCTGTGATTTATTAGTCATAAACCTGAGTATTGGGCCAGATGTGTTAGATCATGCCTTTATTCCTAGCACTCAGAAGGCAGAAACAAGTGGATCTCTGAGTTTAAGGCTAGCCTGGTCTACAGAGTTTCAAGACAACTGGGGCTATTAACATATAGAAACCCTATTGTGTGACCGGGCGTTGGTGGAGCACCCCTTTAATCACAGCACTTGGGAGGCAGACGCAGGCGGATCTCTGTGAGTTCGAGGCCAGCCTGGTCTCCAGAGTGAGTGCCAGGATAGGCTGCAAAGCTACACAGAGAAACCCTGTCTCGAAAAACAAAAAAAAGAAAAAAAGAAAAGAAACCCTGTTCTGTGTGTTGGGGGTGGGGGGCGGTTTAAGTGTGTGTGTATAGGAATTGAGGCCAGAGGAACTTGTTGGGGTCAGTTCTCTGCTCCTTCCACCATACAGATCCAGGGATCCAACTCAGATCTTCAGGCATATAGGAAGCACCCTTACCCACCCAGCCATCTCCCATCCTTAAAAGTGTTTTAATGGGTTAGTGGTCTACCTTGGTGGTAGTATTTGCTCCGTGTGCATGTAGGAGGCCCTGAGTTTAATATCTATCTAGCACTACAAAGAATAAAGTAAAATAAAAGTCTGTAATTATCCTTTGCATTCTGAACTAAAAATGTTGCTCTGAGTGCATCATTACTGGAAAGCAAAAACAATATTTGTTTTTATGTGTTTGTTTTGCTTTGAGACAGGATCTCTCGATCTGTAGCTCAGGCTACAGCCATTCTCCTGCTTTAGCCTGAAAAGTGAAGGATTACAAGCATGAAACACCACACTGGGCTTAAAGAAGCCAAGATTTGTTCTGTTAATCCCAGGTTGCATGCATTGATCCACATAACTATTTCTGTGTCTGTTAGAGTAAACATCACTATATGCCTTTATAGGTCAGAAAGTATTACAAGACAAAGCTACTTTTTTGTTATTGTTTTTTGTTTGTTTGTTTTTTAAGACAGGATTTTGCGGTGGCTTTGGAGGCTGTCCTGGAACTAGCTCTTTAGACCAGGCTGATCTTGAACTCACAGAGATCCACTTGCCTCTGCCTCCCGAGTACTGGGATTAAAGGCATGTGCCACCAACGCCCAGAGAAGACAAAACTTCTAAGACTTATATTCTGTTTATTCTTTGTAGTGAAGCCAATAAGCAACATGTAAGATGTCAGAAATGCTTGGAATTTGGACATTGGACTTATGAGTGCAAAGGAAAAAGAAAGTACCTCCACAGGCCTTCAAGAACAGCAGAGCTGAAGAAAGCTTTAAAAGAAAAAGAAAATAGATTGTTGCAGCAAAGGTAAGTTTACATGTGGTATCCAGAGGAAGTTACCCAAATATTTACATTATTGATTAAGGGCTGAAAGTTTTGTTTTACTAGTAGCTGAATTTCTTGTTTATTTTGGGTTTTGGACATTGTCTCACTATGTATCTCAGGCTGGTCTCAAATTTGCAGTCCTCCTGTCTGAATTCTGAGTGCTGGGATTACAGTGTGTGCCACCAATCCAGTTTATACTAGTATTAGTTGATTTTAATCAATGGTTACTGTGTCAGACACTATACTGTGCTTTTCACAAGTGTTAGCATATCTAAACCTCCAATCCCTACTAGTGAGGTAGCCATTTTAACCGATTTGTGTGCTCACACGAGCTTGTGCATCTGCACGTTTCACAAAAGCTCACCAGACTGCTCTTTATGATGTTAGGGAATACAGCCTTGAGGTTCTGTGGGGCTTTTTGTTTTTGTTTAAACAGTAACTAAAATTTGGGTTAAACTTTATTTTGTAAAAGAACTAATTCTAGGAACTCAGATTATATCTATTGTGCTTTTGTTTGCCTGGCTTGTTCAGTAAGTAGTTCAAGCTCTAAACAAAGAAACAGATTTGTGTGTTCAGTCATCTTAACTACTAACTGGTTTTGATAAATGTGTTGCTAAGCACTAAGTCAGCCATATGTACTGCCTGTATCCTGTCCCAGGAAACTTTAGTTGATTATAGAAAGAAATCATGTGCCCTTGAGCATATGTAATAAGAACAGAATGTTCTGAGGCTAGCAGAGGCTTCTAAAATCACTCTTATTAATAGGAGCTTTTGTTCTTCCTTATGCCTTTAGCATGGGAGAGACTAATATAGAGAGAAAAGCCAAGAAGAAGAGGTAGGTATGGCACTACCTGGAGGGAGGAAGATGGGGTCTGAAGTCTTTGTTTGCAATTCTTAATTATCATTGTGTTTTCTAATACTTTCCTCTTCTGGAATTTATTAGCTCCATTTTTTCTTTTTTTCTTTTTTCTTTTTTTTTGTACAGTGTTCTAGAATCCGTATACCTAGTCTAACAATAAGATCTTACCAAAATTTTGGAAAAGGGGACTGGAAAAATGGGGACCATAAATAGCTAGGTGCAGCAGGGGGGTTCCTGCAACCACAGTGCTGGGCAGCAGAAATACGTGAATCCTGGTGAATTACTGAGTACCCAACCCAGCGGAGCCAGTGAGCCCCAGGTTCAGTTGGAACCTCTCAAAAGTATATAACAAATGTTTTTGTTAAACCTAGGCATAGCTACACTCACTATATACTCCTGATAGGCTTGGAACTGGCTATATAGAACAGGCTAGCCTTCAACTCAGAGATCTGCCTGCCCCTCTCTCTCTCTATTGAAAGGTTTAAAGGTGTATTACACCATGCCTGACTTTGTTGTTGTTTTGCTTATTTCTTTTAAGATTTATCTATTTGTTATATATGTATATACTGTTCTGCCTGCAGGCCAGAAGAGGGTACCTGATCTCAATATAGATGGTTGTGAGCCACCATGTGGGTGCTAGGAGTTGAATCCATGTCCTCTGGAAGAGCCAGTGCTTTTAATCTCCAGTCCTGTTTTTTTTTTTTTTTTTTTTGATTTTGATTTTTAGAGTTATTTACATGTGTATGTAGAGGTGCCTCTGGATGTTAGAAGGCACATTGGATCCCTTGGAACTGAAGTTAAAGGGGTTTTTGAGCTGCTCAATTGGGTGCTGGGATCCAAATTCCAGTCCCCTGACAAAATAGGCTTCTAAAAGCCAAGGCTTCTCTTTAGCCCTTGTTTTATTTTTCTGAGACTAGATCTTACTCTGTACCCTAGGCTAGCCTCAAACTCTTGGTGATCCTTCTGCTTTAGCTTCTTGAGTGCTAGAATTCCAGACTTGAGCCACCATGCCCTGCTCTTCCTTTGTTTTTCTTTATATTTGTAGGGGACAGATTGCCTTACTGTGTAGCAGAACTTCTGATCCCCCTGTCTCTACCTCCTGGGATCACAGCCATGTGCCAGCATGCTCATGGTGGCATAGTATGGGAGGTGTACCTTGTGAACTCAGTTGCTGAAGTGATGGAGAGCTTGTAAAGAGGGGAGGCGTGTGTTACAGCAATTAGGTGATCTCTAGACACCAGGGCCTAGGGCTAGTGTGCAGGCCCTCAGCATGATCACTCTTAAGCACTGTGTTAAATGTCATCTTCCCATATGTGCATGCTTTTTTGTGTAACTTGAATAGGTCTAAAAGTGTCACGAGTTCCAGTACGGACTAATGGACCAAAAACATCAGTGTGATTCACAGGGGAACTGAAAACATGCTCAAGCAAGCAGGCTAGCTGGTCAGCTTGTTAGAATTCAGACCTTTCTAAGTATTCGCCATTGTACAGAATATTAATAAAAGTTATATATAAATATATATGCACATTTATTTTAGGAATGAATATTGTGTTCTTGCTGTTTTTCTTTTTTTAAAGTTGGGGTCTCACTTTGTAGGCCAGGCTGGCCTGGAACTCACTATGTAGAGGAAAGCCGGCCTTGATTTCACAGAGATCTACCTGCTTTTGCTTCTTCTAATGCAGGGATTAGAGATATGTGCCACCGTGCTCAGCTTTTGTTGACTTTTTTTTTTTTTTTTATTTCAAGTGTATCTGTAGAATATAATCAAAGCTGAAAACCAGGAAATCTGTTTCAATGGTGTCATTTTTTTCTGCCTATGAAATGAATGCCTTATGTGGGTATGTGTTAAGGACAGGTTTTGAAGATACTGCATCAGAATATCCAGGAGTTCCTCTCTTTTGCTGTGTTTACTACATGAGATTTGATACATTGTTATTGTAAGTGTAGCTTTCCTACTGTTAATAAATGTGCTCTATTTTTATGTTTGTGCTCAGAAAATTAATCTGATTTTTCTATCTTGAATATATAAATTCAAGGAACCTAATAACAGTACATTGGAATGATGTAAAGTTTCAAGTTTTTGTTTGTTGTATATGTATTTATGTGCATCATATTTGTGTGAGAACATTTGGAGGCCAGAAGAGGGCATCACACCTCCATGACTAGAGCTATAGGCAGTTGGAAACTGCTATGTGGGTGCTGGGAACCAAACGTGAGTCTTAGGCAAGAGAGTAAGTGCTCATAACTGCTGAGCCATCTCTCCAGCTCCACGATAGGTTGTTTATCGTTCATTTTCTTCTAGTTTCCTGGGTTCTTTTTTTGTCTCTGTGTTTTTCCATATGTACCAGTCACTTTTTATTAGACATTAGTTCTCCATCATGATATTAAGATTCAGCCATAGTTGAATTTGGTCATATTCAGGTGTGCAGAGAGTCGTCTGTACTGGCCCTTCCTGTGCCTGCACATAAGAAAGACAGCAACTGAAGAGCACATGGGTGCTGGCACCATGATGACCCTAGCTGTGCTTTTTCCTTATGTTGCTGGATTTGTAATATTGAGCATAGTGTTCCACTGCTTACCTTTTGGGTAAAATCACCATTCACTTTAGCATGTCTCCCAATCTAACATCTATGAATTTCTTCTTCATTGGCACAACTGATTGATGTCACACTGAAGTCTTGGCTGAAGAACCAAACATCTCAGGAGGGCTCTTGGTTGGTATTTTGAGGTACCATCTCATATAACCCAGGCTGGCATCAAATTCCCTTGGTAGCTGAGGGTGACCTTGAAATTCTTTCCCTCCTCCCTTCACCTTGGTGCTATGCCATCACACCTGACATTTTTTTATTTTACTGTGCCTGTCTGTCTAGGTCTATATGCATATGTGTGGGAGCACATGGAGGCTGGCAATTGTGAGCTGTGGATGTGGAAGCTTGGAACTGAACTCAAATCAAGAGTGTGTTTAACTGCTGAACTGTCTCTCCTACCCCTGGTTACTTTGTATTTAAAAGATTGTTTTTCAAGGGTAAGAACAATGACTCAGTAACATGGGAGGGACCGAGGGAAGCAGATCCATGGTGCTCATTGGCCAGCCAATCTAGTCAACTCCAGATTCAGTAAGACTGTCCTAAATGAGGTGGAGAACAGAGCAATTAACGACATGTGACATTGATCTTTAACCTAACACATACACACAAACATGTCCATAAATAAGCTTTCAAAAAATAATAAAAAACCCAAACTTTCATAAACATTGTATTATATATATATATTTTTTTTTTTTCCACTTAGAACTCTCTGGTGAAGGCTAGGCAAGCTGTATGACAGTTTACACACCATACCTATCTGGTGCAAGCCTGTTATAATCCCAACACTCTGGAGATGGTAACAAGAAGATCAGGAATTCAAACTATATCATGTCAGATTAGATGTCAGGAAAAGAATATAACAACGAATAAACAGGTCAACTTAATAAAATTAGGTGTTTTTTGTTTTTGTTTTTGTTTTTCTAACTGTCCTGTAACTCCCTTTTGTAGACCAGGCTGGCCTAGAACTCACAGAGATCCACCTGCCTCTGTCTCCCAAGTGCTGGGATTAAAGGCGCATGACACCACTGACTGGCTAGTAGTTAGGTTTTTTTGAAGCGGGGTCTCACTATGTAGCCCTGCTGTTCTAACTCCATATCTCCCTGCCTTTCAAGTGCTACAATTAACAACATTCAACACTACACCTAGCTTAGAAAGTTGTTTTCCCTAATGAAGATAAAAACTAAATGCATCAGTTTTTGTGAAATGCCACTAAAGCAGTACTTTTGGGGAAACTTAATACCTGAAATTTCATTTTTTGGCTTTTGTTGTTGCTGTTATTTTTTGATACAGGGATTCATTCTCCCAAGTGTCAGGATGGATGATGTCTGAGCAGTCTTACCTGGTTTAGAACCCTGAATTTTAAGGAAGGGGAAATATCGAAAACAGATGACTTCAGTTTGTAACATTAGCAATTAGGAAATAAATACGTGAATAAGCAGAAGGAAGCAAATAATAAACATCAAATTAAAGACAGATGTGGTGGTGCATGCCTTTCATTCCATCATTTGGGAGGCAGAGGCAGGTGGATCTCTGAGTTCAAGGCCAGCCTGGTCTACTTAGTGAGTTCCAGGACGTCCAAGGCCTACATAGTGAGACCCTGTTTCAAAAAATAAATTAATACGTTAAATTAAAAATCAGTTAAATAGAGGAACTGGAGAGATAGCTCAGCAGTTGAGAGTGCTTTCAGTGGTCATGAGGACTGGAGTTCTGTTCCTGGTGCCCACATAACAGACTGCCTGTGGCCCGCTAAGCCTGGCTTTGGGGCGGATGCAGATGTAGGGGGCTCACAAGGGCCTCCTGGCTTCCAGCCTATCGAGGACTGCCTCAGAGGAACTGTTAGATAGGTGAGGGACACTTGACCCTTTATGGTCTCTGCACGCACATAAGTTAAATCTTTTTAACAATTAAATTTACAAGTTAAGAAGCAGGGAATGTTATTGGTAGAGTGTCTAGCATGTATGAGGCCCTGGGTTCAAGTTCCAGCTTCACATTAACCAAATGTGGTGATGCCAACCTGTTAACCCAGCCCTATGGAAGAAAATCAGAAGTTCAAGGTCATCCTTGGCTTTCAAGATCAGTCTGGGTGGGGGGGAGAGCAGGGAAGGCACAGGCTTTTAATCATAGCACTCAGGAGGCAGAGGCAGGGGGACCTCTGAGTTTGAAGGCAACCTGGTCTACAGAGTGAGTTCCAGGACAGCCAGGGCTACACAGAAAACCTGTCTCAGAAAAAAAGAGAGAAGATACTACCAATATCAGGCATAACAGGTAATATTACTACAGATACCACAGATGTTAAAAGGAAACTGGGGGAATGATACTGTGAACAGCTTTACTCATTAAATAATAGTACAAAATAGTTTTTCTTTTTTTGTGAGGTTGCTTGGGAAGCTTTATTGGAAAAGGGAAGGAAGCAAGGGAAGGAGAGAGAGAGACCTGCCTCCTCAGAGAAACGGCAGAAAGAACAATATTTCTTTTGTTTGTTTGTTTTGGTTTGGTTTGGTTTTTTTTAGACAGGGTTTCTCTGTGTAGCCCTGGCTGTCCTGGAATTTGCTTTGTAGACCAGACCCACCTCTAACTCAGAGATCTGCCTGCCTTTCCCTCAAAAGTGTAGAGATAAAAAGCATGCAGGACCATGCTTGAAAAGTGATTTTCTTAGAAGATATCTGCCGTTATTACCCCCTGTGATTTTGAACTGATGGGCTGAATGCTTCTCAAATTACCTCCTGTGATGTTGAACTGATAGACTCAATGCTTCTCATATTACCTCCTTTGCTGTTGAACTAATAGGATCAAATGCTTCTCATTCCTCAGTCCCCCAAGTACCTGGGACTACAGGTACGTACTCTTGGCCCTAGAAAATTTCCTTGAAAGACAATCGAGACTCACTAAAAAGGAAATGGATAGCCAAGTCCAGTGGTAGTGGCTTTGGCGGCGGCACACACCTTTAATCCCAGCATTCAGGAGGCAGAGGCAGAGGCAGAGGCAGAGGCAGGCAGATCTCTGTGAATTCGAGGCCAGCCTGGTCTACAGAGTGAGTTTAGGACAGCCAGGGCTGTTATACAGAGAAACCGGGTCCTGGGGGGCAGGATGGGAGGAGACAGAAAAGCGAACAAAGCCGGGCTGAAGTGGCTCACGCCTTTAAGCCCAGCCCTCGGGAGTCAAAGGCAGTCAATCAGATCTTTATGAGTTGAAGTCCAGCCTGGTCTACAGCAAGACTCCAATTTATGTTAAAAAAAAAAAAAAAAACCCTGTCAAAAAAAAAAAAAAAAAAAAAAAAAAAGTCAAACAAAAAAAGTAAATAGATACTAACCTATAGTCATCACAATTTATAGTTTAAAACCTTAAACACCGAGACTTATTTTTTTATTTTTTATTAGTTCAAATTAGAAACAAGCTTGCTTCACATGTCAATCCCTCCTCCCTCTCCCTCCCCTCCCCCAAACCCTCACTAGCTTCCTACCTCATCCCCTCTCTGCTCCCCAGGGAGGGTAAGGCCCTCCATGGGGGTTCCCCAAAGTCTGTCATATCATCCTGGGCAGGGCCTATGCCCTCCCCCATGTGTTGAGGCTGAGAGAGCATCCCTTCAGGTGGGATGGGGAAAGCTCCATTTATTAAATGTGGTTTTAGACTTTAAACACTTAAATGCATATATATTTGTGTGTATATATATATATATATATATATATATATATATACACACACACTAAGAGGATG